CTTCAGAAGTGAAAATTAGGCTCAGTTGTCTCTTTTAAAGGTGGCCTCTCTGGCACTCTTAGGCACGTGGGATCTGATCCGAGATCCAAGCCGGAAAAATCAACTAAGTCAGAGAAACCCGGAAATTACTTCGGACGCGAATGGCCGAGCACGAAGCGGCGGTAAGGAAGAAAGACGGTAACTCCTAGGTTGCAGCTCACTCGACGGGACCCGGCTATACATTCAAGCTTAACGAGGCCGAACTCCTCGCAAGAGGTGATAAACGCAGAAGCCGCGAGCTGCTCGAGTCATGGTTCTCATGCCCACAGTCCATTAACAAGCGCAACAATTTGCTGTTCCCATACTTCGTACTAGGACATTGCCGCAGTAAGGGAATCAGTCACCTGGAAGGGGCCGGGCCCAGCAACAACTCTGACGACAGCGAGGATAATTGTCGCACAATTATTAAGCCCGCATCCGACACGGACAACAAACTCACGACAATTAATGAGTTGAAAGTGAAATGTCAAGCCATAACGGCACAAATTAAGACCCCAAGCAGTGGTTACACGAGCTGATAATTATAGTACGCATGCGGATATCCACTACGAACTATAAATACCGTGCAATCTGTGGAGGGGGAGGGAGGACCAACGAATCAGTAGTGCCCTGAGTCTGGGGATAACTGCGCAGGGCAACATATGCGGGCGCCAGCTCGAGACACTAGTAAACTGAGTTGCCATCCGACGCCGAGAATTCTATCAGTTCTCAGCCTATCTTTTTGCCGGCGTAGGCAGTTATCCTCGCAGCCGCGAAGTTAAACTGGCGACCCATCTCATAGTTTTGGGTCGCAACTTGAGATAATGCGTCACCCCGTAAAACAGCCAGCATATGTTCGTGAATGCGCGAACCTAGCATGCTTCCAGTCTATTCCGTATAATTTATGGGACAATTTAGACATGGTATGCGATACACTACGTCCGAATGCTCACTGGTATTTAATCAATTCTTGATTCTCATGATCCGGCTGCGCATGGTAGCCTTGAGACAGTGTGAAATTCCGACGACCTATCGCGCAGCGATGCGCTCGGTCGCTTACGACACATCTTTGATATATGGCGGCGCACGCCAAATCGTAGGGGTTGGTTCTGTTTGGGGCCTCGGAGGG